TCTTGCCACATAGGGGTTAATCCGACAAAACTAAAACTTCCAGCAGTGGGAGGGAAGGTCCAATGCTGAGTCAGTTGGGAAAATATGTATTGAAAAGACATTCAGTGATATCTGCAAGGCAGCAGGCAGTCTAGGCTGGGGGACAGGGCCTGAGGAGGGGCCAGAAGGGGGGGCAGGCAGTCAGAGGAACACTTTCAGATTTAAGCGGGATGAACATGGACCCAGTAAGACACAGAGGAAGGTGTCATAACCCTGGGTAAAGGGCTGCATGAGGAGCCAGTTTCCAAAACCAAATTCAACCTCAGCACAGGGAAGGGCAATGGGTACCAGCAGAGGGGACCCTCAGGGGAAATGTAGATTTCAGGACTTCCTAGGGGACCAAAAAGGAGACTTGATAGGAACTGACACTGGCCCTGGACAGGGTCACTGAGCTCTTGTAACTATTGGCCTGGGCTGAGGAGACAGCCAGGCCTGGAAAACTCCCCGAAGGGCCCCGCGCCCAACAGGGAGGGTCAGTTGACACAAGTCCTGGCTTGGGTCCTGGACAGAAAGCCCCCCGACCCACCACCCTCCCTGTCTCTTTGCCCTAGAGAAATCTGATCCTCAGGAATTAGTTCCACCCACTCAGTACCCTGCCAATCCCTAACTTGCCTATGGGCAGGAAAAAGAAACTTGTGAGAAATCAAAACTGCACAGCAGAGCTGGTCACAAAGAAGAGCCCACTGTCCAGACTCTCAGCGTGTCCTGCATCAGCGCAATGAGCCACACAACCCAGACTGTCTTCTCTCAGGCTGTCGGCCTCCCTCCAAACTATGAAAAGACCCAGGAGGAGCATGAAGTGGCCATTCTGGGGGGCACCCAGGGCCCAGTTCCCGCAACCTCCACTGTGATCAACATCCGCAGTGACATTGCTGTGCCTGACCACGTGGTCTGGTCCCTCTTCAACACGATCTTCATGAACACATGCTGCCTGGGCTTCATAGCCTTTGCCTACTCCATAAAGGTGAGTGCCTGGGTGTGATGCTCTGGGAAGGTGCTGTGAGGTTCAGATTCACCTGCCTGAACAGAATCTGTGTGTCAGTGTGTGTGTGTGTGTGTGTGTGTGTGTGTGTGTGTGTGTGTGTGTTTGCAAGACATGTATGGGCACTTGGCTGTGTGTGGTGTGCAGGGCGCCCTGGGTACATGTGCGTGTGTTGAGGAATCTCCCAGGGCAGGCATGAGGTGAGCTCCCTGGGCATTCTGGGGTCACACTTGGTCTCTGCCCACCCAGAGGAATTCTCCCCACTGCCCACACCAGAAACACCCCGTCCACACTGCAGGCGGTGGCCCCCAGGCTGTCTGGCAGCTGCAAAGGGACTCACAGGGGACTTTTCCCCTGGGGTGAGTGGCCAGCCCTGGGGCCACCTACACAGTCTGAGTGTGAGGGGGATGTCCTCCACCTGAGTGAGGGCAGGGGCACCCTGGCTGGGCAGGGCGGGCCTGGAACCCCCAAGTCAGCACCCTGTCTCTGCCCTGACCCAGTCAGACAGGGCCCTTACTCTCTGGTCTCCCCCAGTCTAGGGACAGAAAGATGGTGGGCGATGTGATCGGGGCCCAGAGCTACGCCTCCACCGCCAAGTGCCTGAACGTCAGCGCCCTGGTCTTAAGCATCGCTCTGACCATCAGCCTCATCATTGTGTTTTCCTTCACCTCCGTGCAGTTGTCCAAGGCGATATATGACTCTCAGGGCCACTAGTCCTGCGGTTTCTGTCCCTCCACAACTGCCCTGGCCCTGGGCTGGGCCCTGCCCTGCACCCCACACCCTGACCAGCTGTCCGTAATTGGGATCAATAAAGTGTGCATGTGCCTACTGTGTTGTGTCATTTCCTGGGGAGGGGACATGGCTCACTGTCCCCATCTTGGTCCTGAAATGAACCCACCCTCTGTGCACTATCTGGGGGGAGCAGGGCAGGTCCTCAGTTTGGAGGTCTAGGGTGCCTGCTGTGAGAGGCAGTGCACCTAAGTCCCGGGTCCCCTTTCATTATTTCCTGATCCTAGGACACACTGTGAGGAGCACTGCCTGGTCACAGGCCAATACTGTCCACTCTGGCTTACTGTGGGCAGTCCTGGTCATGGGGATCTACGCTGGCTTTTGTATTCCTGGAGCCATTCCGGGAGCCAGGCTTTATAACTTCCCAGCCCATCCAGCTCTGGCTGCATCCAAGATCCTGCCTCCGCTGTGCTTGTGACATTGTCTACTCTCCCAAGAGTGGCTAGTATGCTCACCATTGTCTCAGGGAAAACTGAAACCAGAGGTCAGGCTTGTGTTCCATTGACTGTACACAGACCCTGTAGCCTGAAGAATGACTCCTCAGCTGGCCTTCCTGGGGGAAGATCTGTCCCTGTCCACAAAGGATTTGGGCACTTGGTGTTGGTGCCTCCATCCATCTGGCAACAATGGTTATGTAGAGCCACTGAGGAGTCCACCTGCCTGGTACCTCAGGCCAGGGGCTGGTCCTGGCATCTCTTACTTTGTCCCAGATCCACCTCCAGGAAACCCACCCAGGCCCCTGCTCCCTTGAACCTTGTGGAATCTTAGTTCCTGGGTCGGTGGGCAATGTGGAGTCCATCTGTGGTCAGTGGATGTACAGGACAGTATACTGTCCTCAGTGTTCTATGTGAACCTGAGGAGAAGGCTGGCAAAGACAAGCCCAGTGTGACCCACCTGGTCTGAGTTCCATGGACATGACAAGCTCACTGGGACTACTCCAGGCCTCAGAGAGCACATTAGTGCCCCTCTGCTGGCAAGTTGAAGGGAAAGACCCTGAGTGGTCACATTGGCCAGACATGGAACTCACATCCTACAGGAATGGAGACTGTCCTGCAGAGCCAGCAAAGAAGCTGTGATTTCCTGTTTCTACAAATGTCAAGGGGAGGTCTATGGCATGGGGAGGGCAGGGACGCTGACCAGATTGTATACGCTGAGTGCTGAACTCTGGGTTGCATAATGAGACCTGGATATATTTGCGCATAGCCAGGACACACCAGGACCATGAGGCTGGCATGACCAGGGAATGGGCATGAGTTGGGAGTCGTTAGGGTAGTGGGTGCTGCTGGGCAGGTGAACAGGACAGGCCAGGGGAAGAAGCCAGTCCTAGTCCTTCCCAAGAAGCACACAAGAGCACATAGTATCTCTCTGCTTTGGTAGCAAGGAGTCCTAGGAGAACAGATGGCCAGGGGCCATGAGGTGTCTAGGTTGGATTTGAACTGGTCATGAACACTAGGAACACAGGAGGACCCACTGTTATGCAGCTGACCATAGTCTGGCCTCTCCTGGGTGTGGGCTGCCAAGGAGGGCACTCTCCTAACTGAGCAGCTAGGATTCCCATCTTCCCACCTGAAGAGACCATGGAGAGTTCCCCAGCCTGGGAGGCATAGGTGACCGGGCAGGGCTGCTCCTGCTGCCTGGTAAAGGAGGACAGGGCCTTACCCAGAAGGGTGTCAGTGCTCAGGCTGTGCCTACTGTGACAGCTCCTGGTGACTGGCAGCTTGGTTGGCTTGAGAGTCACCTTGGAGTTAGTACAGCACACTTCTGCATATCTCAGGTGGCCATGGGGCATGACCTGGGGGGTCCCATGTGGCCCCTGACCCTGGTTCTCTGGAGCTTTAATCTTGCACTCCGCTCCCCAGGTGCCAAAGCTGAGCATCTGTCCTCCACTCCATGTCTGGCAGCCTGGGCTCAAAACTCAGAAACTGCCAGCAAAACAAACCCTTTCTCCTTCAAGTTATGCATGTCAGGTATTTTGTGCCAGCAACACAAAGCTGACCCAAACATCTGCTCTGTCAAGTCAGAGGTAGAGGCCAAGTCCGGGGTCCCGACACGAGGAGGGGAGCTTGTCATCCTGAACCAGGGGCCCCAACTCTGCACCCACAGAGGAGACCCCAGCCTTCCTGGAAGCTGGCCCTCACCCCGCTGGAAGGCCCTGGAGTCCCACCTGCACATCCACAGCATGAAGGGGCCACTCTGCCTAGGGAACCTCAGATACACTGAACTTTGCAACTGGTTTAGGAAGCAAAGAGCAGCAGGACATGGCCAAGAGTCCCAGAGATGCAGGCAGGAGGCCGAGGCCCACTCCGAGGGATGAGGCTTGGGGTGGCTCCAGAGGCTGAGACTCAGGAAGGACACCCTGTGGGACAGGGGAACAGGGCTTCTGGAGACCTACACACTGCAGGGTTCCCTGTGGGGAGGTGGACATGTGGGAGCTGTGACCACAAGCAGAGACAGGGCTGAGTCTCAGGGATGTGGATGGGAGTGTCAGAGGTTGGCCAAGTCCTCTCCTCCCCGCCAGCACCATGGCTGTGTTCCTCCCCACACCCCGCTGCTGTGCCAGCCCCACCTGGGGAGAGGGCAGGAAGGGCATCCTTCCTGTCAGGACACTCTCAGGGAGGCCAGGCAGTTGGAGTCCAAGTCCCGCCCACGGGTGACCCCAGGCAGCGGCAGGTGTCCTGTGCATCCACAGGGCTCCTAGAATCAGAGGTCTGCTGTGGGAGAGGAGGGGGAGCCACTGCTGCCATCTGGGATGGCCACAGGAGTAGAAGCACGAACACCTCAGCCCCACCCAGGTCCTGGCAGACAGGAGTCCCGCAGTCCAGGGCCCTGAGAGGCCCACATGGAGCCAGTACAGAGGCTGGGGCCACAGCACTGCTGGGTTGGAGGTCTCTGCTCCCTTGAGGAGGTGGTGGCCCTAGCCTGTGAACTCCCTGAGTCTGAGGTCTAGACCTTGATTGGATGATGGGGTCCTGGGACCAGGCGGGGGTGGACCTCAGCACCTCCCTGCTGAACAAGCCAGCACCCGAGGAGGACCCAGCAGATCCCAGGTGTGCTGCTCCCCATGGCCACAGAGACCTTCAACTGAAGACCTGCCCTGCTCTACCCAGATACTGCACAGAGGGTGGGTTCATTTCAGGACCAAGATGGGGACAGTGAGCCATGTCCCCTCCCCAGGAAATGACACAACATAGTAGGAACATGCACACTTTATTGATCTCAATTACAGACAGCTGGTCAGGGTGTGGGGTGCAGGGCAGGGCCCAGCCCAGGGCCAGGGCAGCTGTGGAGGGACAGAAACCACAGGACTAGTGGCCCTGAGAATCCTTTTTCATCTAGTAGACTCTTTGGTTGAGTGCTGTGAAGACTGTGGCATATAAAATGATGAAGACAATGCTCAGGATGATGCTTAAGACCAGGGCGCTGACGTTCAGGCACTTGGCGGTGGAGGCGTAGCTCTGGGCCCCAATCACATCGCCCACCATCTTCCTGTCCCTAGACTGGGGGAGACCAGAGAGTGAGGGCCCTGTCTGACTGGGTCAGGGCAGAGACAGGGTGCTGACTTGGGGGTTCCAGGCCCGCCCTGCCCAGCCAGGGTGCCCCTGCCCTCACTCAGGTGGAGGACATCCCCCTCACACTCAGACTGTGTAGGTGGCCCCAGGGCTGGCCACTCACCCCAGGGACAAAGTCCCCTGTGAGTCCTTTTGCAGCTGCCAGACAGCCTGGGGGCCACCGTCTGCAGTGTGGACGGGGTGTTTCTGGTGTGGGCAGTGGGAGAATTCCTCTGGGTGGGGACCAAGTGTGACCCCAGAATGTCCAGGGAGCTCACCTCATGCCTGCTCTGGGAGATTCCTCAACACACAGATGCACACAAGATGCCCTGCGCACCACACACAGCCAAGTGCCCACATAGATCTTGCACATACACACACAAGGGGATGTGCACACCACAAACAGCCCAGGGTATGCACAGGCCTTGCACACACATGCACACACACAAGCACACTTGCCCAGTTGCTGTCTCTGACCTGGAGCCCACAGCACCTTCTCACAGCATCACACCCATCACACCCACCATCACAGAGTAGGCATAAGCTGCAATGCCCAGGCAGCACGGGTTGATGAAAATTGCGTTGAACAGGGACCAGATGACATAGTCACGTGTCAAGTTCTCACCAGGCATGTTAATCACAATGGATCTCGCCGGACCTGACATGGGCTTCTCCCCATCCATCTTCTGTGTTCAGTGAAGCTAATTTTGCAAATGAACAAGGTCTGGTAAGTAGATTCTCATCACTGATTAACCTTTTGTGAGGCAGACCTGGATGCAGCGGGTGGGAGTAGGAGGTTCTGGCCTTTGGGGGAGGTCTTCTCTTCCTGGACATGGAGTTCTGCTTTCTGAGATGTTTCTGCTTCCTAGTATTTGTTAATCAGTGAGCCGTCTGTGGAGTAAAGATGGAGTAACAGATTACTGAGTGGCAATTACACCATGGCAGGGAGGAAAGGAGGGTGGAGGGTCAGGGGGCTTCCTGTCTAGGACCCAGGCCAGGACTTGGGTCAGCTGACCCCTCCCGGTTGGGTGCAGAGGTCTCAGGGGACTTTCCCATGCCTGGCTATCTCCTCAGCCCAGGCCAACAGCAGCAGGACTTCATTGTCCCTGTCCCAGGCCCCAGCCAGTCACCTAACAAGACCTCCCCTCCTGCGCCCCAGGGAGCCCTGAAGTCCACCATTCCCATCAGGGGCCCTTTGCTGACGCCCATTACCCTCCTCTGGGCTGAAGCCCTGCTGTAGGTGGCGTCTGGGGACACGGCTCCTATGGCAGTCCCAGGCCCAGGGGCCTTGCTGCCTGCCCCTTGGTGCCTTCCAGGCCCAAGGGACAGGGACTTCGTGCTCAGTGTTTGGGGAGGGGTGGTGTTGGGAGTAGGGGTGCTGCAAGTTTGTGGCAGCAGCTTCAGAGCCCAAGGACAGTGTATCTGTCGACCCTACCTCTGGTTCCCATCCCTCATCATTTTCAGAAGGCCTTAGGAGCCCAGCATGGGAGTACAGCCCTGTGTCCCAGCATGAGGGGAGGCTTGGCAGCAGGATTTCCATTTGAAGCCTGGGCAACTTTGCAACTTGTCAAGACCCTGTCTCAAAATTAAAATATTAAGAAAGGGCTGGGATGGAGCTCAGTGTGGAGGCTCTAGTTCAGTCCCAGTTGCCAAAAGAAAGGAAAGACCCTGGTGTCTTGGGGAAGAAGGGAGGGGTCCCAAGTCAAGACTACACTCATGTGCCTGGAAGGTGCAATGCACCATTGTGAAGGCCTTCCTGCATTGCAGTCTTTTCCTCTTCCTGCCTGGCGCACCTCAGCAATGGGGAAATCGAGGGGAGTTACCTGCGGTCAGGAGTTCCTAAGATGGCTTGCACTGGTCTGTTCCCCGGAGCAGCCAAGGACTGCAACAGCAAGCAGACACACCAAAATGACACCCAAGATGTGGAGGTAGATTTATTTACATTGAAGGGCACTGATCAGGATCATTCCCAGAGTATCAGGCCCTGATCTCTGGTGGTCTAGGACTCATATGGGATAAGCAAGCAGGAAGTGCAGAGGCAGAATGGCTTGTCAACTGGGGACTGGTATGTACAATGTGCATCACAGTGACCAGCCATTTCTAAGAAACAAAGTAACAGGAACTGCAATGGAAAGTAACAAACTGAAGAAAACTGGCTGTGGGGTCGGGGGGCATCTTCTACTACAAGACCAGCCACTTCCTAGCAATACCTCACCACCTTGCCCTACCCTGCCCCACCCTGGGCTCCCCATCCCGCTCTGCTCTCATCAGCCCCAGGATCATGCCCCTTGCACCCTGCAGAGCTGGGCAAGGCCTCCGGGACATGGGGCCTGCTGGTTCCTGTGCCCCTGGCCCTGCTCCAAGGCCACCATGGTGACCTGGGTTACCTTGGGGCATTGGGGACACAGCCAATTCCAACCACCAAGTGCTGCTTATAAGAAACACACATGTCTCGGCCCTCAGGTACAGTCAACGAGAACCCTAGAGGGGGAGTGGGGATTATAAAGGGACAAGAGACACGAAGAATGGAGACAAGACAGTGCTCTGATCAAGTCT